ATCTCCTATTAAAAATTGAGGTTGAATAATAGTAATAAAGTAACAAGAAATTTCGAAAATACCACATTTAATAAGAAAATTTAAGAATATTATATAAGAGTTTTTGAGTGGTATTTTGAACTTGATGTTTGCTTGTTACGTTTTATCTTGCTTGTAATTTTGATATGCACAGTATGTTTTATTTGCATCTTTTTATTGCCAAATATTATTATAAATATTTTCATTTTTTATTTTGATTTTATATATTTATAACCAAAAAAGTATATTATAAAAATTCACATATGCTTTCATAAAGATAAATGATAGGTTCGACACATAAAATTATTAGAACTTGCCCTTTGTATTATTAAGGGATTTCATTACTCTAATACATCCACCAGATAGGATTAAAAAATAATTCAAATTTTCCAGAAATTATTTATTTTAACTATCTCACGATCCTTTATTTAAACAATTGAGTGTAACAAATGTTAGGCACTTGTTTAAGTATTGACTTGAATTCTTCATAATATTTATCTTTCTTGAAAGCAGGTCAAAACATTTTATTTTATGCCTCTTTTTATTAATCACATTCATAGATATAAAGTCATAACATATTTAAGAGTAATGTACATCAAGAAAAAGCTTGTGCATGTTTCTACTCCTCTAAATGATTTTCTTAAATCCCAGTAAATTAAGACTACTGTTATGGCAAGTTTCTTTTTCGAATATTCTTCTAATATCCTTTCAGCCTCATTATTTAGAAATATATTCAAGAACATGAATATCAAACAGCAGCTTTAAACTTAAAGTTTTTTTGGTGTCCTCCTTATTATGGTAATTTTGAACCTTTTCAATTAACAAATGAGGTACATTTATGCATTATTTATCGACTAGTTCCCTAATTGTTTTAACTTAATGATAACTTTTTTGTTTCTAACATAAAGTTACCCATTACAAATATGACTATTAAGAATAGCAACATGATCCTCTATTCAACTGTAATTTGAATTGAATGCATTATGTGAATGGATGCAATTTTATGATAGATATTGCAACCATCTATATTGGTATCCCCCTTTTTCTTTCATTAATAATCAAAAGGGGTCTTTGCTAGTGTAACTGACTTGCAACAATGCTATTCTGATTCTTATTATTCCAAGATGCATATAATGCATATCTACCAGTCCAAATTAATTAAAATTTTTAGCGCTTTCTATAATATAAAGTCCTTTAATAGTTTTAATACTAATATGGCCACTAGTATTTTCCAGACTTAAAGTAATAGATATTGCTCATTAAGTCTGAATGCCCCATAATAAATGTTCGGCTTGTAATTTAAGTATTGACTTAGATGCCAATTTCTGGTGATGCTTATTTGGAACGACATAAACAATGTTTCAATGTTATGCTTCCTTATTTTAGTATAGTAATTGTGGACTTAAAAATAGTATCCAAGTGAAGTAATATATATAGAAGATACTCATATTTTGGAATTTTATAACTTGGACAGGCTCATCCTACCCCAATTGAAGTTGTTTTTTCACTAAATACCATATTATAATAGGGACTCTAAACACACTTTAGTTTGCTCTCGGTTTGAATTTTCCAGTAGAGTAAATGCCTATTTGTTACGCTATGAATTAATTTTGAACATTTGATTACTAATTGTATCAGCTCTACTGGAACGCATATGGGAATTTCGAATGTATTCATAAACATAAGGTGTGTTCCTCGGTGTCAATCATGTGCTACCTTCAAATCAGCGAACCAATCTGATACTTGAGTTAACTATTTAGACATACACTATCAAAATTATACAACATCAATCTCATATTCTTGAATTGGGGGTTTGATTTTTTTTGGATATTATTTTGTTTGCAAAATTGTCCATAATTCTAGTCCTGTTTTTTTTTTTAAATGACTGGAAAACTTACTCACATTATTTCGTTGCCTTTCTCAGATTGCTGATCCAACAGTATTTGTTTCAGCATTTTTTTATTCTTTAAGAAAGTCATTTAAAAATTGTCTCATAAATACATTACAGGCTGTTAGCTATTTTATAAGTTCTTGATCTAACCTGTAGCAAACTATGTCACAGCAGGAACCTGGGAAGAATGTTGATGTATTTTATGATTTGTCATTTTAGTGAATTCTGCACTATAGTTCTGACTTCTAGTACATAGACCCCAATGCTTTGTCAAAAATGTACTATAAAATTATGAAACTTTGAATGAATATGATGAACTATATATTTACATCTCATGCTTTCTATCCCTTGTCAACCCTGTCATGCTATATGGTTTCTTTCTAATAATTAACAAAAAATTCTAAAACTTGGAGGAATGATGATGACTAACAGTGTCATCCTCCTCAGCAGAACTAACTAAAAATTTCATTTTTGCAACCTACTCTTCTAGTGGACAATTAATCTACTTAATGCTTTCAACAAAATTTCTCCTTCCTTGTTAAAAGCTAACACCCTTTCTCAAATTACATATCCGTTTGCTCGCTATTTTCTAAATATTCTCTATAAATTGCTTTAAAATATCAGAATCGGCCACCATCAGCTACAACAGCTAGAACTTGTAAAGTTATTTAACAAGAAAATATCCTGTTTATTCAGGTTTAATTCTCAATGAATCCTAAATTAAATCTATTCTTAACTCTAATAACATTAATATTTCATAACTCGCTTAGCTCGCTTTAATGCGACTAAATATACTTCATAATTTGCGATGATCATAATAATACTTGAAAATCTTGTGCACCGCAAAGTAATGATTATGACAGTATCAATCCAGCATTTCAAGTCTTAGAGGAGGTGACTTATACTCAGTATTTCTACACTGTCATGCTTTGATAATAGCTCAGATGATTATTGTCAATAGTTTATTTTATCTGGCTATCAGATATAAAGTTATGATTTAAGTAGCATTAGATAATTGATACTGAGATCTGAAGCTATCTTTCATCAATGAAGTTGAATAATTGCAGGTGAAAATACATAGATGAATTACGGCAAATAATGTTAAAAACACTCAGATCTCTATTTATTCTTTTTTGAGAATCTAATGCACAGCTAATTTTTCTATTAATGCATATTTCAACCTAACTCTGCCAAACTTAAATTGGATTAAATTGAAACATAAATGGATACTTAGTGATTTGCTTCGAAAGATGCAAACAGCTGAGCCAACACAATTTCAAATTGGCTCAACCTCAACTGACGGTATGTTTAGTTCAAAATCACACAGAAAAAGCTTCCATATATATCTTATGTTGGTTTATTCATTAATTATATAGTTTGTTAAATCAGTAAATGAGTGAGATTATTTTCGTTGATGTATAGGCTCTTCCTTAAAGAGGAATGCAATACTATTGATATTTAATATGTCCTATGGCAATTATTTTCTCTCCTAAGTCGTGCAATAGCTGTCAACTTCCATACTATTCATGAAGATAATAGTATTAATGTACAATGCACGCCTTGACTGCGACTGTGACTCACCAATACAGTTGGAAGCTGAGCTGTCAAGTTTTCTTTTACCTGTAATTACGCTCCGTTAGCCATTGAATGCTTATGGCTCTGCTAAAGCACATTAAATATTCTACTTGCAATCCAGTAATAATATGATGCCTAGCAATACTTTTTAAACATTATTTAAAAATGTAATATGCATATCATCGCATAATTTAAACCTTTATTATTCAGCATTATGTAAAGTCTTGTAATTTCCTATAATATTTTGTTATACAGATGATGTCCTATACTTCCTTACTAATAATACTACTACGTTAAATTTTAACTTGCACTAATTTATTGTGTTTAGATGGATTCCATAAATTAATCTATGGCTCTGGGGCTCCTTATAATAGCCTGAAATAATTATGTGCTGATTCTTGTTATTATTTGATCTATGCTCTTACATACAAAACTGAAAAAGATGAATGATACTTTTAAAAGATCTTTCATTTATAGCTAATTTTGTTAAATGAATTTTTTATTAAGGGTTTTAGATTTAAGACGCTTAATTAATATAATTTCAAATATGCTTATGAACAGTAGTTTGCCACTTGTGCTAATTCTGAGTAATAAACACTGCATTGGAAAATAGAGGATCTTCTTTTTATACAACAACCTCAGCTTTTCAACTCTTGGTTTTATAAGTGTACTGAACAGACATGTAACAATTATCCTTCTTACCTAATTACGTCAGATATTAGTTTAAATTTGATGTCATCTCTTGCACAGGAAACTGATATAATTTGACACTGAATGTTAATGCATACTATTTGTTCTTTTTATTTACCTTAATTGTAATGAAATGTAGTATCGTTTATTATGTTTTTAACTTTTTTTCAACATAATATGACATCCTTGCATATTTCTATTTACATTCTGCCATCCTTGTCACATATCTTTCATGCACTCACTATTCAAAACCTTAGTTCATCTTTATTTAACTCTAGTTGTGCTTACTTTTAGAAACACTGTCTAAAATGTTAGCGTAACCTAATAGAATTTGTAATGCATTGAGTGTGATTCATGAGTTCTAGATTTATTAACACTGTTGAGCAATTCAATTTTAATGTAATGATTACTAAAATCTATGATTTGTTATTAATGCCTGCAAGCTCTTTTAGCTCCTAAACTTGTTTGATGGAAGTCCACATTGTCTCCCTTAATACTTATAGCTATGATCAATATAAAATGAAAGATCTATCATTAAAAACTCAAAATTTAGTGAATATCTTGGTTTGGACAACAGCTAAAAGTTTTTTAAAAGTGAGTCACTATTTACAACTTTGTGGAACTTAATTTTTACTGTTTTCTATGTTTCCTTGATGTAGTATTAATTGCTATTTTAAGGATTATAATCAAACAAGCCAAGCATTATTATCTATTCTATGGGCAATTCTGAAATCGCTTGATTTGTCGCTAATGATTTATTTACGATATGTTTTAGATTTTTATAATATGATGCATCATAACACAAGTCCTATGTGTAATTTTGATATACCTAAATTTTGGATTTCTTATGATTCCTTAAAAAGTATATTCAAAATAATTCAATGTGACATTATATGCTATCCCCCATATTTATGACGCCACTATTTTAAAATTTATATATATTATGACAACTAATAAAATTCTACATTCAAATTAATCATATCAATTAGTTTTGCTACAATGAAGGTAGTTAAGACTTGCCTCAACATAAAATATTTTATTGAGAAACTTAACTTTGGGATAGATGAAGCAATTAAACTATGATTGTTAACATCATATAGATATTATTGGCCGTTATAAATTCCTCTCTAGTTTATCAAGACCAAATCAATTAAAATATTGTGTTAATTAATAATAAATCCCCTATATCTGTTAATGAAAAGCTGCACAAAAAATTACCAGCCTTAAGTTCTTACATGAAGATTTAGATCTACTAAAAGCATTATACATTCACTTTTATAAATGTATAAGAAGAAGTACAGTTATCGCAAACAAGAATATCCATAACTGGTAAATTACTAATGATCAACATTATTTTAACCAGCAAAAAGAAATTACTTATGCTTACAATCATTGAAAATCAGTTAAAGAGGGGTCTCATGCACTACACATAATTATCAGCTTCGTTTTTAAAATAATTATCACAAGAAGAATAATAAAAAGAAAGTACAATAAATCATATACTTTTGAGCTTGTGTAATAGGTTTCTATTCAATTTTGTGCTGTTCTACACATACCTTAGTTGATATCGCTATATTATTAAACTACATTTTATTTTGATAAGATTTGCAAGTGTTCTAAGTTGGGAAAAGTAAAACAGTATTATGAACATCAGGTTTGTGAAGGAGATGATATAAAAGCCTTTATGCGATAAAAAATGTAGAAGTAGTAAGGAAATTAATGCTCAATG